GAATCAGATGATATTTTCTAAAAGGAGAAAAGTTTTGAGGCTATAAATTTTGAGATTTGGCCATCTAAAATTTGGAAAGTCCACATTCAATCTTAGAACAATAGTTTTTCAAGAGAATGTATAGTTCAAACTTTTCCTTTATTTGTTGGGTGTGATTTCTATAAGGTTGCAGCCTTAAACAATCCAATTAAAGCGCACCTCTAAATTTTATATTAATATATAATTTTGGTGTAAAATATTATTAGGATTATCTCAAAATCTATTTCCATATCTAATTATAAAATTTTAAACTCCAAAAATGGAAAAATTCAAGTATATCTATAAACAACTATTTTTTACACTCAAAATATTTTTTTCTGTTATATAATATATCTCGATATTGAGATGATCAATTTGAGGGTTTATCAATATTAAAACAAAATTTTTTGGTAGATTTTTTAGACGCATCTATAATTCTACATTTTAAGGTTGCAACCTTATATAAACTTTTTCACTTTTCTTTTTTAGAGTAGTGGCTATTTTAAAAGTTACATCCTAGTAAATTTAGAGCCCTATAAATAATCCTAGCGTGGGTTTTACACAAACAAATAAGGAAAATAGTATAAGTCCAACAACTCAGATTGAATCTGAGCTGATCAGAGGGTCAGGACTGTATTTCAATAATATAATTTTAATATTTTTATATAAATTCGAATAACATGAAATTTGGAGCATCGACTCTTCTCATCAAGGTGCACCTAATAAAAGTATTCAAAAAATAATTCGCATAAAATAAATTAACCAAAATACCTCTGATTTGTATGAATTATTTTTTTAATGCTTTTATTGTATTCCACTATTTTTAAATAATATAAGCTTCAAATTTCAAGTGATTTGGATTTGTGTCAAGAGTAATGATCCTATAAGATCCTCCCCAACCCATGTGTGTAGGACCCAAAAAGATCACCATTAAAGTTGGCACGAATTTTTAAAAAAATTATCACTTGTGTGTAGGACTTAGCTTTTCTATAAATTCGTGCCAAATTTAATGTTGATCAATTGAGGTCCTACACACATGGGTGGAGGGTCCTATAGAATCATTTCTCTTGCCTCAAATACCAAAAGATTCAACGGTGGGTAAATTTTCCTAAAATGTTAAATGGAAGTAATAATGGTGTGCTCCCATGGGAGTACCTTACAAGCACTCACCAAGTCAATCTCTCCATCAATGGCGACCCACTTATAAATCTCTCATGGTTTAACTCGAGAAACTTGCGGAGTTGTGTTTTTTTTTAATAACTAACGCGAATAGAGCCACTAATACAAGAATTTAAAATTAGGAAAGTATAGAATGAGACCATTTACTTTTAGTATAAGGTGAGACATTAATCTTGACCATTGGATGTGAAAATGGGTGGTTGTAATTATTCCATTGACCAAGCTTAAACTTCAAAATAGATTTTTTTGAACTTTGTAACACATCCAAGCTATCAACTTTCACATGGGATGGTAGTAAGTAATTGTGACTACCTTGTATCAATGATAAATGGTCTCATTTTATACAATCCTTTTAAAATTATATGCTATTTTTTTTAGAGAGATAGAATATTGGGCAGTCGAGAAACAACATATTTATAATATGAGTATAGCTGAGTAAAAATGTTGATATGATGGATGGGTGGCAAGACAAGAAATGATAGAATTCAGAATAAATACATACGAGGGAACTTATATGTGTCTTCAATAGGCGATAAGATGAGGAAAAATAAACTATAGCGGGCTAGACATGCGCAACATAGATCTAATATAATACCAGTGAGAAGGTATGATTTGGTTCAAGTAGGAGGCTATAAAATGGCAAAGGGAAGGCCCAAAAGGACATTGAATATAAGTAGTGAGAAAAAATAAGGTCTTATTAATGATATGACCCTTGATAAAGAAGAATGGATAGACATGATTTATGCAGCGACCCCCTAATAATTAAAGCTTGGATAATGATTATGATTATGATAATGCCTAGTATTTTAGATAATTTAACTATTGCAATAAGAAATGTTATTAGGTCAAGCCATCGTAATAAAAAAAGTTCAAGAATTCAGTAGTTCAAAGCTTTTTATTTTTTTTGGGTAATTCAGTGGGGAAGACATGCCTCTACCTGTCTTTCCAATAGATTGGGGAGTTATATTTTGAAGGCGTTAATTGGGGGTATTAGCAGTAAGAATGGACACCAAGATGTGGTAACTGGGTGTGGGGATGCTACCACCACGATCCCAGATAAAATTATCTAAGATGGATTTAAATACGTATGAAGAAGAGGATAAAATAAAAAATAAAATAGAATGACTATTAAATCCAAAAGATATTATGCCCTTGTGGGAGTATATTGTCCCTTTATTCCCATGGGGTAAAACCTCACCTAGAATTAATTTTAAGACCCCCAATCTTAGGGATGTAACCTCTTTAGCCCATAGATTAACCTCAATAAAAAAAAATCTCAAGTACACCTCTATGTACTTGAAAAATAATGTATCGAGTTTGATTATAGACCAAACAATTTTTAAATGGTGAGATCTAAGTGTTTGAAAACTAAATTTTTAATTTTTTTTTTCTTTTGAGAATAATCATCTAATAATTATTAAATGATTCGCAAAATTTCAAATTGAAAAACATCTCCCAAGTGGGACATGTAACTGACGGAGTATAAATAAATTATGCTCCCTAAGGAATATAGAATACGTTATCCTATTTAACATGGCTCCTAAAGACGGTTGTGCCTCATATAGACTACGGCCATTAACCCACCAAAGTTGCCCTCATTATTATTATTATTTTGGCAATTTAGTGGGGAAGACATGCTTTACCTATTTTTTTAAATAGTTCAAGCGTCAATCTTTTTGAAAGTGTTAGTGGGGTGGTGTCAATAGGAAGGAACTTGGTGACTAGGATGTGAGGTAGAATAAAGCGTTACAGCCTTTTGGTAAAAACTATGGGTGGCGCCTTTTGGTAAAAACTATGGGTGGCAATTGATCTGGTCAATCCGCAAATATAACGGATCAAGGTGACATGGATCATATCAAGGTATGAACCCGTATACCAGACCTGGCAAGGTAGGTCTATGTTTATTTGGACCTAGCCTTGGTCGGGTCTAGGTCTGAGTTCATCTAGTCTGGATGGGGGTTGACCTAACCCACAGAATACACCATTTATATACATAATATATTATAACCTATAGTATTTATTAAATATAAAAATATATATACTAAAAATTCATTATGTTTTTTTATTGGGTGCGGTTTGTATAGAGCCGAGGCTCTAAACAATGAAATTAGAGCCCACCTTCAAATAGTATCGAGAAATGTGGTTTAAATACTGAAAATATTTGACTAGCCTTAAAATATATTTTTATCTTTAATTATAAACTTTAAAGGTTTAAAAATAGTGTAAATTGAGCATATCTATGACAACTTGAATAACTTAAAAATTGACAGTCCAAAAAATGCATTACAAGATGCACTATTTTCAAAACTTGAAATCCATTTTTTTATCAAGTTAATGCATCTTGATGTCGAGATGATCAATTTAAAGATATTTGAACATCAAAACAACCTCTTCTAGTGAAATTTTTTATGTAGGCTCTAATTTGATTGCTTAGAGCCGGAGCTGTACATAAACTTTTCCCTTTTAAATTTAGATCTAGAGCGAACCTGACCTGGCAAGTTGGGTTCGGGTCCAATAACCTAGACCTAACCTAGGTCTGCGGCGGTGCCCCAACTTTGAAATAAAAGGCACATATAGAGTAATCTCTAAGGACAACGTCATCAATTTTAAGCAAAAGAGCGACTTCGAAAGACTCGTTTTTTTATCTAAAGTTTTAAGGATCCACTTTAGAATCATCAAATAATTATTTATAAATAAAAAAAATTAGATTTTGAGTTTGTATCCAATAAAAACCCATGGTCCATTGAACTTTAGGATGACCCATGGTCCATTGAACTCTAGGATGTTACTTATTGGATACATAAGTAGCTTTTTTTTTTTTAATTGAAGTTGATCTCTAGGTCGATGAAGTTACATACCAAAATTTAAAATTCTAGAAAATATTACAAATATGTTTTCTCTTATGAGAAAATATAATACTATATACCTTTGTCTCAAATGGAAGCAAGGAGGCATTGCAGTGCTTCAATAATTTTCGTTCCGAGTGTGATCAATACCATAATACTTAAATTTCATAGTTAACTATTAAGGGTGGTTGCGACTTTATTTTTTCAATACAATAATACTTAAATTTTGTATCTAACTACTATGGGTGATTGCGACTTTGTTTTTTTTTTTTTTTTTTGCCAAAATTGAAGCTGTCTATACCTTGGAGTCATAAAACAAATTGAGGAAAAAATCAAAATAGAGTGTGATCAATTTCTTTTGTCGATACAATAATACTTAAATTTTGTATCTAACTATTAAGGGTGATTGTGATTTTTTTTTTTTTGGCAAAAAATGAAGCCTACTCTTTTATACCTTCAAGTCATTAAACAAATTGAGGCAAAATTCATACTATTAAATTGAAAATTTTAGTTTTTTACGCAACCCAAGCACTTGCATGTAATCTTTTCTCCTAAAATTTAAAAACAGTTTTTAGGCGAGAGCATGTGTACGATGCTCTCTCGGGAGCGTAGTTTACTTCTACTCCCTCCATTAGAAGATCTACTTAGGAGAAAATATTTTTATTCTGAAATCTTGGGAACCATTAAATAATTACTAGATGCTTATTCCCCAAAAAACATAAAGAGGCATATTTTGAGGTCCTAAAATTAATTGTAGGTTGGGTTTGACCCGCTGGAGTAAATGGACATTCTACTCCCGCACGAGCATAATATCTTTTGGCTTTAGATAAACATTATCGGTTGGGAATGGTCTTGCAGTAATCAAATTTATCTCATTTTATCAAATATATTATATTAAACAAAGCTATCGGCTCGGCTTGGAGCAGACAAAGTGAGAAGGACGCAAGTCGCTTTCGTGACGTGAGCCACGCGGTGACTGAGTCAGGCAACAGTGGTTCGAGCCGAGCGGCCAACTCAGCTTCCATGCCATTATCCGAAGTAACACGAGATCTGGCTTTGTGCCCTTTGACGGTTTCTCTCTCTCTCCCTCACGTCGGCCATCTCTCTCTCCCTCACGTCCGCCTTTGAACTAATCATCTCCCTCAACATATAAAACGAAACCCACCTCACCAATTCTTAATCCTCATCCTTGCAACAGAGGCTTTAGAGAGAGAAAGCATTTTTAGAGAGAGGAACACAAAAAAACCAGTCCCTTCCTCCCATCATTTCAGGCCCTAGAGAGGGACATGGGGAATTGTGTTAGGAAGAGTTCTTCATGGGAGGGCTGGGAAGATGAGGAATGGGGCTGCGACGAAGCCGAAAAGCTTGTTCTGAAGCCGAAAGTAGAGAGAGAAGAAGAGGTTCTTTCTAAAAAGAAGAATGGTGGGGACTCTAAAGAGGTGAAGATAAGGATCAGTAAGAAGCAGCTTGAGGAGCTGTTAGGAAAGATGGAGCTCCATGGCATGTCCGTTGATCAGATGATCGAGCAGCTCATGAACACAAATGGTCATAAACACAGGGGCTGGAGGCCTGTGCTTCAGAGTATACCTGAGTGTGAGTCTTGGAATGTGGGGATGAGAGAGAAAGATAATTGTGAGGTCGCTGATTTCTAGAGAGAGAAAGATTACTTGATTGATTGATGACTCAAAATTTTGAGTAAATCAGGAGAAGACTTGGAAGCCATTGAGATTTTGGGTGGGTTGCAGAGAGAGAGTGTCTCTCTGTTTTAAGGAGAGAGAATACTGTGAAAGAAGAGGAGAGCAGATGATTTGTTCATATCTCATGCCTTTTATGCCTGATTTTTTCACTCTCATCAAAAGGGTAGGAAGTAAATGATTATCTCTCTTTGTAAATTTTAATAACCATTTGTCCATAGTCCATTTCTGTGATGTATTCACGGCTCTCTCTCTCACCGGGGAGATCCTGTAATAGAAAGTAATTGATTTATTCATATTTACAATAATCTTTGATGTATACACCTTATATGACTCTCTCTCTCTCTCTCTCTCTCTCTCTCTCTCTATTCTTGTCTAAACGTACTACTTAGTAGTAGTAGTAAGTGTATAGTAGTAAGTTAGTTAGTTAGTTAGTAGTTATTTAAGTTA